GGGTTAGTGTCAAAGGGAGGGACACTGCATCCTTTGAATGTTCAAGGATGAGCCCAGAAGAGGACGCATGCCTAGGCGGAGGGAGGAAGGGAGGTATGAAAACACTTCATCTCATGCAGCACCGCGAGGCTTGGTTTAAACAGGACGGTGTAGACATGGCTGGTCCGTTTGCAGCCTAGAGCATATGACCACAAGACTGATGACTTCAAGCCAAGATGTAAATAGACAAGACTTAATGTGGTTCACGCCTCTACTGTTGGGAGTAAGAGAAAAAATGTGTGAGCCAAAGATTGGCAGCAAATCTGTATGAGTTTCATGCTCCAATTGAGTCGAGGCCAGGGAAAGTGATCCCTGTGGCTTGGTCAATCCAGGAAGGGCTTCGCGGATGAAATAAGACTTCAGGAGCTGGAGTGGGAGGGGATGGAGATGTGGAATGTTTTGACAGATTTTTTTGGACTGTTGGAGGGGGCAGAAGAACTGGGAATGGTCCCCTTTCATCATGAAACACCTCTTCTTACAGCTGGAGCAGGAGAAAGATAGGGCTCTCTGGTTTCTGAAGCACAGTGTAGCCCTCTTCAAGAGCCCACAGGTCCCCATCCGCCAGGCAGCCGTGTGGTTTGCAGGTATGGCCTTCCGTCTTTTGGGGCCACAGTGTCCTTGTTGTAAGGTCAAACGGACTGAGGGCCCGGAACATGTTTGTATACAGGACCGATGGTAATTACTCTGGAGGGTGGGGGGAAGCCTGTTCCCACCTGCTCCCCTTCCCTGCAGGAAACGTCTAGTTGGGTTGGGTGACCTTCCTACAGCAGAAGGGCCAAGTCCTAGGAGGCCCAGCTAGCAGAACTCCCAAATGGTGGGGTGTCAGGGGTGTGTGTGCTGCTCTGTGGGAGACATTCAGACACAGGTGGGGGCTTCCTCGCACCACCCCAGGGGAAAACGTCTTTGGAGCGGGGGGTATCCACTCCTTCACCAGCCCGATTGGCCTGGAACCCCTCCGGGAAGCAGGGGAAGCAATTTCAATACCTGAGGCTGGTGGCCAAGGGAGGGAATGACAAAGGGGAGGAAAGGTGAGTATTTTAGGAGGTGCACAAGAGCACTTGCAGCCAGGGGCCCACGGGTTCTTTGTGAGGCCACTGAGGTGCCTCTGTGTCCCCCTGTAGGCCAGATTATCCAAACCGTTGACTTGGAACAGACGGATGAGATTCAGGAGGCATGCGCAGGTGAGTGGCAGCCCAGTCGCCCACGCCTCGTGTGTTTTAGAGGTAATGGTGTTGGTGAAGGAGTCTCAGAAATGAGAAAGAACGGGCAGGTGGGCACACAGAATTGATCCCGCAGAAGGAGTGAGGGGGTGGGCTCCTATCCAAGGCATTGAGGTTGGGGGTGCTGGTCACTCATCCTCACTGTGGTCAAGCTGGAGCCCATCCATCAGCCAGGATGGTCTTGAACTCTTCATAGGAGAGACATCCCACTTTTTCTTACTTGGGGGCATAGGGCTCCCCAGGCCCTTTCCCCCGGAGCCCCCAAACTGCTCATGCCGTGGTCCGCACGTTGCTACCTGCCCTTTTCGGCTGTCTTACCTCTCGCAAGCACCACATCCTGACCCTGCTGGGTTCCCACATGTGGCTGAGTCCCTGGCCGCAGCTCTCTTGGGAGTCAGAGGACTTCACCCATACTATTCTATGGGCAGAGGAGGGCAGAGCAGGGAGGGGAAGGTGGGGAGGCCTGGCAGGGTTGGGAATGGATGCAGGCTGAGGGGCAGCCTGGCCTTGTGTCTCCCTGAGTCTGTGGCAGATGTGTGGCCTTGCTTGCACCTGAGCAGTGTGGACTCCCACAAGAAACTCGCTCATATTTTAAAAGCTGTCAGTCCCCGTCCCATGGGCCTGTACCTTTCCCATAGCAGGGCCCAGGTCCTCCTTCCCAGTCCAACAACCTTTCTCTGTTCAGAGCACCATAGCAGTGTCTGTGTTTCAGCCCTCACGCACATGCAGAGAGACCCCGACCCCATGGTCAGCTGCCTCGCCACACAGACCTTCTACATCCTGGAAGCCAAGGAGAAGCTGCTGCAGGCCAAGACCCCGACCTCCTGCTTCTGCTGGAGGAAGCTCCAAAGGGGCTACTTCTGAGCCTGCGTCCTCGGGTCGCGCGTGTAGACCTGGCCCCAAGACTGCGGCAATAGGGTCAGGCTCCTGAGCCCTGCCCTAGAAATGGAGGTGCGTTCCTGCAGCACCTCTATAATAAAAAGAGAAAGCATGAACTTTAGTGGAAGTTGATGTTTCCTTGCCATTCCAGATGGTTCAATTCTTGGCCATATGCATAGAGCCACTTGTTGTAAGCCGCCTTCCCTGCAGCAAACATCTGGGTTCAGGCTGGCCTGTCCTGCTGTGCCCCTCCGTGCCCTTCTCCCATCCAGCCGCACGCTCTGAGGCCAGAACAAGCAGTTTCTTTTGCACCAACCTGAACTATGAGCTGGGAGGAAGGTAATGCTGGGACACATGAGATGTTCTAGAATCCAGCTGACAGTGGGCAACAGAGTGGGCTCCGGCAAGTTTAGGTAGGAAAGGGATTTACAAAAGGGGTATTAGTGAGCTCACAAAGTATCCCGGGAGATCAGAGAGTTTGGATACTGCACAGCTCGGAAGAGGGCTGCTCTATGAAAACGCCACCCGTGGCTGCCCTTGGCATAACCCAAACCATAGCCCCAGTGGCAGCACTCAGGGCTGGACACCAGGAGCTTGGCACCGTTTCTTTGAAGAGCCAGAAGTCCCCTCCCCTATCCCTATCACAGAGGTGAGCTGGGTCAGTGCCGGCAATCTCCCGTTGCTTCTGTTAGAATCAGTCTTACCTAGGTCCTCTGACACAGTCCCCGGACTGATCCTTGGGGTCTATGCAGGGTTATTTGCAGTGTCCACAGCCACCAACCCCGTACCCCCAAGCCAGGGTGTCACCTATTACCCCTGACCTTCAGTCAGCTGGGCCCTAGGCAAAGCTCCTCCCCCGGGGCAAGCATGCTCTGACTTGGGTGGACCCCTGGCCACAGCAAGGCGGATGCCTGGCGGGCACTAGCTCTTGCACTGCAGTGCCAGCCTCTGCCACCTGCACCCCAGCTCTCGGGAGCGCAGAGCTCCTTCCTTGCTCGCCCTCTACCCGCCATGTGCCTCCTTGGCCTGTTCTCTGGCTCTGACACCAGCTGCCACCAGCTTCACTAGGGGCCTTATCAGCTGAATCTTTTATAGATGGAGGTGAGTGGAAAATGTCACAAGACTCAGTCGTACATTCGGATCCCTTTCCTTGCCCCCCCCAAAGGGCAATCTTGCTTTGCTACAAGCAATGATAAAAAGGTTGATCTTATTTAAAAAACTATTAACAGGGTAAGTGCATTGGGATAGGACCCATTTCGAAGACTTGGTCAAACCAAGGTAATGAGCACACAGAAGGTGATGGATTTTAGGGTCATCTCTATCCCAGGATGATCTTGGCCAGTTCTGTTGGCCTCTGTGGGCCTCAATTCCCTTCATCCATAAATTGAAAGGTTGGGAAAAATTATCTTTTAAGATGCCACCCAGCTCTGACAATAGTCGGCTCATCAGATTCTGAGAAGTGCCATTTCCCTGTGCCTGGGAAAGCTGCCCCATGGCATATACCATAAATGGGAACTTTCTTGACACTCTTTTGTTTTCCAAATTTTTTTAAGTAAGCAGATATTATGCTTATAGTCGGGGGCGGGGTGGGGGGAACCAACAACATCCCACATCAAAAGAATAAAAAACAGTCTCTTAACCCAGTATTCCTGTCCCCTCCACCCCACCCCACACCCCTCAAGTGCCTGCGCATCCTCAAGACACAGGGCGACTTGAGTTTGGAAGGACCTCCTTTTTACAAACCCTCTGGGGGGTGAGGGGTGCGCAATCGCAAGGGGGAACCAGCTGCTGGAGTCCACCGTAGCGCACCCCGACAAGGTCACCAGCGCCTGGTCTCTGTGTCTCACCCACAACTGGCCCCTGGCCTGCAGGTGGCCACACCCAACCATCACTTCGTACAGCTCATAGTGGGCTCAGCATCACGGGCCAGTGGGGAGCGAGGGTGGAGCAGAAGAACGGCATGGGGTGGGGCTGGGTTTGCCAGCCAAAAACAACTGTCCTCAAGGAGCCACCCTGCTTCCCAAGGCAGGAGGCTCCGTGCCCGCAGAGGGGCTGGGGGGTGCAACTCCTCCCATTTGTGACTCCCTCCGTGGCTCAGGGTCCCTCTCGCTGGCCAAGTCCCTTCTGCTTAAGGACCAGAAGCTTCTTGGGAGGAAGCTTCCCTCAGGAAGCCTTTCCCTCCTACAGACCCCAGGAACTCCTGGGCGGGTCATGTCATGGCTGTAGGTCTGGGTAAGCAGCAGGGACCTGTGTAGGGTGAGGAAGCAACTTGCTTTTTATATTTGGGAAACAGAACAGTGAGCCACCCTGTTGTCTTCCTGATATGGAAATCAGACAGTAAAGCTTTCAAAGTGGTCTTGGCTGGTGAGGAAATGCAGATTCTCCCCCAGGGGTCTCTCTGTCCAGGGGATGGGCCAGAATCTTCTGGAGTTGATGGAGCGATTTGTGGTTATCAAAGGGAATGTGAGTTTTTGGGCCGGCCCGGTGGTGCATTGCTACAGTGNACTGTAGAGCTGTTTTCCTATACAAACTTTCTATATTTTTGTCTTCGTCCCCTGGCAAGGGGACGAAGCGTGGCTGGCATGCACCACGCACAGTGTCCCAGGCCCTAGAAAGGCATGTGACACATCAGTGAAAGGCAAAGGGCACTGTGGTCAGGCAGGTCTGGGTTCAAATCCTGACAAAGTCGCTTCCTGAGACTTATTTCATAAAATGAGAACATCAGCTATCACATGGGGTAATGAAGATCTAATACATGCCTCGAATAGTGCCTGGAAAATAGCAGGTGCTCAGGAAATGCTACCGCCTGCTCTCCCAGCGACCGCACCTGCCCCAGGAGGCAACATACGGAGTCTGGAGAAGAATGGGACAAAGCTTTGCTTTTTAATTGGGTAAGTTCCAAACTCACAGCCCAGGAAGTTCTCATCAGGCTGGGCCCTACCCCAGAGGCCTGCCCCACGTACCACCACTACCAATCTCCCACCCTAAAAAAGGGCCACCAGCCAAAGGTCAGCAGACCTCAGGGGCCACACTTCCACAACAGTCATTCAGTTTTATTCATCACAACTTCTTAGAACACATCCATCCGATCTAGGAACAGAAATGTACAGCATGAGGCTTAAATAACTTTCATACACTATGTACAGTCATCGGCAGAGGTACAAAACATATACACACCTTGTGCTAGCCACATCGCGGAGGAGAGCATGGGCCAAATGAAACCCTGCAGCCTGGGCAGGGGGTGATCACTAGAAAAGAACTGGTGGGTAGGGCAGGGCCCTGTTACACTTCAGGGTCTTCTCTGACCCTCAGCTCTTGGTGGAGCAGTTTCCACTTTCCTGCAGGGCCCTCAGCGACATGGATTCAAAGGACTGAACTGCAGTGTGATGGGGGCTGGGGGATCATCTGAGTGCTGGGGATGGGTGCGGGTGTGGGGCAGGGGACAGAACAAAGATGCCAGAGGAGAAACAGAACTTTCCCCCTAGATTCTGTCCTTGCACATGAGGGCAGCGAAGGACCTGGGAGCCAGGAGAGGAGGGCCAGGCCCAGGAAGGCCTGTGGGGGTGTTGGCCATCGATCAGGAGGCTGCGCCAAATGAAGAGAGCATCAAGCGGTTTCCTGTTTGGGATGGCAAAGGGACAGATGCCACAGGTCTGGGCCACACAGTGGGGAGGAACTCACTGCCCCTGCAGAACAGGTCCTGCCTACGTAAACACGATGGCGAACATACTGGGCACAGGAGGGTCTGAAAAAGGAGGTGTGTGTGCGCCCAGCCGCACTACACTGGGGATGCCCCCAAGAGCAGGGAGAGACACTCTGTTCCTCGACTTCACAGCAACCGCCTGCCTGAGACTCCACCACATCAGGTGGCAGGAGGAGGTCCCAGCAACTCAGCGTCTTCCCCATAGCAGTTTTGTGCTTTACTCTGTCACGCAGCCCCTGCAGACAGCAGGGCTGGACAACGGAAGGTGGAGAGCTTCCCAGGCTGCGGCTGAGGGTGGGCGGGCAGGGAGGCCACTCCCAAATCCGCAGCTGTAGCTGCCTGCAGGGCTGAAGGTGGCACCCTGACCACCTCAAAGGCCTGGGTGTGCCAGCCTCTGCCTCCAGCCTTTCCTCCTTCCTTGGCAATCTCCAAAGGCCAACTCCAGGTCCTGCCTTCGAGAACTCAGGCTGCCTTGGAGGAGTCAGTCACTCAAATGGAAGCAAACACTGAACTGGTTAATACTGACAGCGAGTCCTGGCACAGGACTGTGCTGAGAAGGCCCAGCGGCTGTGGGGATGGAACATGCCTTCCATCCAGGGAACTTGCCAATAAGCCTTGAAGCACTGATGGGGCTGCAGCCCAGGAGCCAGGGAATCTGGGCCCAAGCTCTTCAGGTGCAACAAGACTGGGACCCAGCCTGTGCTCAGGCATTTAAAGCCCGGGGTACAGGGTCTGGAGAGGGCCCTACTCCTGAGCCCATGGCATAGGTGTGGCTTGGCTCGCCATGGCTCAGCCTCAAGTCTTAGGATGGGCACGGAATGGTAAGAAGCAACGTGATGAGTCCCCGCGTAAGGACAAGCCACGAGCCAAGCCCCAGTCTGAGCAAGAGCAATCCCCCCGCCCCCGCCCCCGCCCCTAGACACGGGCATCCCCAGTCTGACTTTGGACAGACCAACCTGGGAGGAGCCTCCTGGGCCCAGGTCTTCCAAGACTGCATGTGAGAGCCCTGCCATTGTGCTCAAATCACAACCATTTTGTGCTTCCAACCTTTAGGATGCTTGTGCAGTAAGTGCAGCTGGGGGCCTGCCCCTAACTATGTACCTAGGACATCCCTGAAAGAGTGGGTGAGACTCCAGCACTCGTGGAGCACAGCTCGGAGTGGCTCAGGGACGATGGGTTCAGGGTTCCCGAAGGACTTCAAGTTTAGAGTTAATGATGCTCGCTAGGACAGCAGAGCCGCCCACCATGAGGTAGCTGACCCATCAGCAACAGCAGGAAATGGGCAGAGACGAGGAGCACCGCTCACAGGGCCGTAAGATCACAGCTCGTGTAAGAACAGGCCTTGAAGCTGCAGCGCAGTCACCCCAGGCGGGGGCATCTCCGGACCATGGCAGGGGCACAAAGTCTTATGTGTTTCTACAGTTTGTAAACAGTCATGCGGACGAATTCTTTCTTACAGGTTGCAAGGGCAAAGCTTTCTGTTCAGGTGGGGAGGGATGGACGAGGGGAAGAGACATGATCACTGCTGAGTGCTAAGGGAGTCGCTCCGCACCCTTGGGATGGCCACAGGAGGAAGGATTTCCAGTCATCACAGACGGACTGTCCAGGTTCCAGGAGACCAGCGGTTGAGGGTGTGTCCTTCCTGCACATCACCTCACCCAGACTTCAACGCCACGTCCAGCAGTGGCCACACACAGCAGGACAAGCCTTCTTAGCCTCTGGGGCAGCTCCAGGGAGGATGCGAGGAGAGGAGGACAGCCCTCACACAGCCTTTACTGGGGCCCGGCCTCTCCCACACCAGGGCCACATGGAGCAGGCTCCAGTGCCCCAGACAAAGAGGAGAGGAGCTGAGGGCAGCAACACAGAGCCACCTCCAGAAAGTCCAAAAGTCACCATGTCCTCTGAACGGAGTTGGGGTTCCTGGCTCCCAGACTGAAGCAAGGAAGCACAAGACCAGTGAAGCAATGGAAAACTGTGTGGAAGGGCTTGGCAGGGTCGGGGCGACAGAAGGAGCTGGGCCCCTTCCAAGGCCCATTCCTGTTAATTCAGACCTGCCCCAACAGGGAGCGCCCCAACATTGATTTAACAACCTCCCAGGAGCTGAGGGCCCACAGCCCCAGGGAAAGGAGATTCAATGAACTCCCTCTTCACCACTAATCTCCTAAAAGGGAGGACCTGTGCCCCATGTCAGTTTTAAGGCTGGAAAACACGTCTCCTGAATAACCAGAGAGAAAGAAGGTGGAGAGATTCCCTGTCCCAGATGGGGGTGAAAATAAGCATGGATGGGGCAGGTGGTGGGGGCAAAGGGGCAAGCCATCCTTACCCTCCAAGCCACTTCCTAACAGATACAGGCCACCAAGCTGTTTCCTATGTGACCCACACAGGACTCTGGGGAATGGGACGCCCTCACCCTGGGCTGCGGGGCGAGCTCCCCACCTTTGGGGGGGGGCAGCAGGCATGAGAGCCCGCAAGTGAGAAGACACGCGTGACACCGTGGGCGTGGCTGGTGTAAGGCTGCCCAGCATGGGGCCAGGCCCCAGGACGTTGGAAGGCACTGAAGCGTCAGGCGGCCTAAAGGCTGGGTGTACTACAAAGGTCCCCAGGGGCAGTGTTGGGGACAGGCTGAGCTGCAAAGAACCGAAGGGGCATTTCCCCCCTCTGCAAAGCAAACGGAGGAGGTGGCACGAAGGCCAGGGGACCTGACTCCCTTTGGGATTCCTGGACCCTAAGAACTGAGGGAAAGAACATGTGGAAAGAAACTTCAAGTCAGTTTCCAGGAGGCAAGAGCAAAAAATAAAAATAAAAAAATAATAAATTAAAACTGGAGTATTTCTGACCATCTCCTCAAAGGAATCTTTCTAGCAGCTCCACCTTGGCCCCCTCAGAAAGTGACCCCAAGAAATTGCTGGGGCCAGCTGGGACTAGTTGCTGGTGGCTGCAAGGTTCAGGGTCAGCTACAAGGCCCAGTGGCCTACACCTGGTTTCCATGGTTACCTGAGGACTATCTTTTGGGGCTCAGAGGCAGGTGCAGAGGCTCCAGAGGCGAGGCTGGGAGATGTGGGGGAGGCCAGCTCGTGGGGGGCACTCGGGGCTGGGGCCGCTTCGCCTCCTCACAGGGCCCCACTGGCTGGAGCATGGGGCAGGGTGGCTGAGTGGGAGAAAATGCAGCCAGTGAGGGGAGGGGGCAGGGAGGCCAAGGACTGCTGGGAGGGGAACGAGAGGGGACAATGCCCTTTGGCTTCACAGCTTAATTGCCTCCCCAGTCTCTCTCACCAAGAGGCTCCCAAGAGGCAGGGGAGGGACTGAGGGACAGTGTCCTGTGGGAAGGCTGAGGGGGATGAGGGAGAGCAGGAGAGGGGCCACACCACTGCCCACACCCTCTGTCCCCAGGGCAGATGGCCCCTCGGCCCGGGCCACGGCTTCCCTTCCATGCTGTCCAGGCTGCCGGGGTCGAGGGTCGGGGGCATCCCTCGGACCTCACTCCTAGGGTGGGCCACCAGGTAACCGCCGTACGCTCCAGAACTTCACCGTCAGGTCACTGGGGGGGAGGACAAACAGGGAGCTGGTCAGCTCTTGAAGTGGGCCCGGCCAGCTGCCCACAAAAGGAAGGGACGAGCTGAATCCCCCAGACTCCCCAAATGCAGCTGGGGCCGACGGGCAAGCGCTGCTTGTGTACGGGAGGGGACTGCAGGGTGGAGGGTGCTGGGCACGGGGAGGGGGCCTGTGGTCTCAAGCCCCAGCGGGGTCCTCATCACGAGTTTTCTTTTGGTTGTTCTTTATTTTGTCCAGGCCTGAATGCTCCCCCCCCCGCTTTCTGCTCCCTGGCCCCCCTCTCCTGGGGTCTGTCCCATGTTCATGCTCGGGAGAGGAGGGCAGGGGGGCGGGCAGGGGCAGTCTCTCTGGGCCAGGCAGGCTGTGAATGGAGAGTGGGAAGGAGGAGTAAAATAATCTCATACCGTTAAGAAGCAGCTCAGACCGAAGTGGGGCAAGAGGGGGAAAAGGAAAGCGGGAGAGAATGAGAGAGGAGACAGGGGAGGGGAGGGAAGGTCAGGGCAGGGTGGTGGCGCGGCCCTTTATGGCCAGGACCCGGCGAGGAAGGCAGGGGGTGAGTCCAGGGACGTAATTCCACAGCTTTACCCGGCAGTCACTGTGGGGGAGACAGGCGGAGGGGCAGGGGGGAGAGGCAGGAAAACACGGGAGGGGCGGGAGAGAAGAGACAAGGTGGGAATAGGAGGAAAAAGAGGAAACCCGTCTGAGTAGCACCCACGGGACAGAGGGCCTGGGCGCTCCCTGCACAGGGGACCAGGCTGGGATACAGGCAGGGTCGCCTGGGTGCTGGCAGGGCTGCTCTGTGGTCTGAGATGCTTGGACGGGGGAAAGACAGCAAGGGCAGGACTGCTGTGTGAGGGGCAGTAAGGGCGTGGAGACACGTGGGCAAGGCCTGGCCGCGGCCCAGCACCTTCCTGCTGCCCCCACCTGGCGTACTGCCCACACGTGGTGGGCACTCAGGGAAGGGAGGCACAGGCTGGGCACAGAAAGGAGGGCACCGCGGGTTCTGCTCTGTGAACCCAGCCTGCGGGGCCAGCTGCAGGGCCCTGAACGTCCCAGCCTCCCCCGCCCACACCAGGGAGAGGGTGGGAGCCAAGGCAGAGCTCCTGCCCAGCACCCACCTGGAGGCTGTGAAGATGTGCTTGGCGTTGGTGCAGATGGCATTGATGGGGCTGTCGTGGCCCTTGATCTCCCCGATGGGCGTGAAGTTGTCCACATTCCAGACCTTAATGACACCGGCACGGCAGGCACTCAGCAGCATGGGGCGGCCTGGGACAAAGGCCAGGGCGCACACCCAGTCCTTGTGTGCGTTAGGGATTTGCTGTGGGAAGATCAGGGCTGGTGAGGGCTGAGGGAGGTGACGAGGAAGGAGAGGACCTGCCCCGGGGTCCCAGGAGCACACGTGCCCCTCTTGCTGGTGCCTCCCCTTGCCTCTAGAGCCACCATCCAGGCAGGCATTACCTGTCCCAGGAGCCAGGCTGGGCTGACCTGTACTGGGAGTTTCAGGCCAACACAGGACCTCCTGCCCCCACTCCCAGGTTCAAACCTAAGATCCTGCACTGGTGGAGAACCCTTCAGCCCTCAAAGGGGTCAGGCTAAAATGTAAATGCTCCCAGGAAAGGAAATCTGGTGACCGAGCTTCACGTCCAGAGCAAAGCCTCTGCTGAGAGCAGGCTGCACACAGTGGAGACAGCGGGATCAGGAGGGTTGAGGCAGAGCGGAAGTGGGGGGGGCAGCAGGCTTGGGGAGTTCTGAGAACCACCTGCCCCAGGGTCCCCAGGGCCCTGTGTGGGCGGGGGAACCACCCGACCCAGCCCGCCCGCACCTGGATGAGCTCCTGCTGCTCCAGGTCCCACTTCTTGATGCCGTTATCTCGGGAGCCACTGAACAGGATGTCCCCCTGGATGGCGAGACACTCGATGCCGTCATAGTGCGGGGGCTCAAAGTTGTGGGTGGGGCCGATGGTGCCTGTCACACACTCGCCCAGCTCGAACATCTGCGGGAAGAGGGGCTGGTAGGAAAAGCGGCTCGTCCAGCAGGCGAGGGCTCTTGGAGGAGGGGCAGCTGCTTTCCAGGGGCGGGGAGCTCTGAATCCTCAGGCCTGGACCCTTCGCTTTGAGGTTGGGGCTGGGGGTGGGGACACTGACTAAGTGAGTGTAGGGGGTGAACAGGCTGATCACTCGGACACGCCACAGCTAAACACGCAGCTGCTGAGCAGAAAGGCGGGTTTGAGGTGAGCCTCCTTTAAAATCCTATTTTTTAATCAGTTAAATATAACATCACTTGTATTTTCAATAAAAATATTCATCATAATCCTACCACCCCTTATTTCCCTTTTTCGCGTGGCTTTCTAGTTTCCGACCACATAGGCAGTTTTCAATGGCATAACCAGGGAGTAAACCAAATTGGCGTTTGTACACTTTATGCTTTCTTTTCCTACTTATCATTTTAATATAAGGCATCCCGTCCAATGGCTTTTCTGTAATTTACTCCACTGTTATCCACCCATAGACATTTGGATTGTTTCTAATTTTCCACCCTTTACAGAACAACACTGCAACCTACAATGTCCTGCCCACTCCTCCTTGCCTTCTTTGGGATGATTTCCGCAGCATATACCCCCAGAAGCCTCGGTGTTTCTCTTGAGTACTCCCGAGGCAACAGAGGGCAAAGATGGGGGACACGGAAGATGCACCGAGAACGACCCCACCCGGCCTCAGGTACCTTAACGTAGTGGTCCTTGGAGCCAGTCACCACGAGGTCATGCTGGCTGGCGGTCTGGGTGACCGTCAGGCACATCACAGGGCCGATGTGTCCAGTCAGCTTGCCAACAGGCTGGAACCTACAGTGGGAAGAAGCCCAGCCAGGGGATTAAAGAGTCCCTGGGTTGGGGTAGGGGGTCTGTATGGGAATAAACAGGCCTGGCCAGGGTCCCCTCCCTCCTCATCAAGGCAAGATCAACAACCAGGACGTAAGCTGTCCCCATATCCCAGGGGTCTCAGAGGAGGGTGCACCAGCCCAGCAGCATGGGGCAGCGGGGGCACAGCTGAGGTCCTGCCCACCTGGGGTGAGTTGTCCCAAGCTGAGACCTGGAGACCTTCCCTGGGCTCCCCCAAGCCCCGCTCCTCTCCCCACGTATCTCACTGACCTGCTGAGTTCCCAGATGCGGACGGCGTTGCCCGAGGCGGCATACAGCATGGTGCCTGAAGGGCTGAGCGCGATCTGGTTGATGTGATGCTCACCCTGAGCGCTCGTGATGGCGCGTGTGGACGTGGCGGTGCAGGCGTCACCCGAGATCACCTGGCCTGAGGACCTGCCCAGGAGGAGGACAGACAAGGCCAGAGGTCAAGACAGTTCATCTGCATGTGCCAGGAAACCAATAAAACCTCACTCAAACCAGCCCTGACAACCCACTTCCAAGAAGCCTTCCCTGACTGATAGAAAAGAGAAACAGCTTCTCCTCGCACTGGGCCCAAGGACAGAGCTGCACCCACCCCTGTAAGACAAGTCCCGAGTGACTGCAGGTGGCCTGAGTGCTGGCTCAGAAAGACGGTTAGACTAAGTCATGAGATGGGGTGTGAACCCACATCTTGTGGAAAGCACCTAACCTCTCTGGGCCTCAGTTTCCTCATTTGCCAAAGGAGGTGATAATACCCACTTTGTTTGCTTTTTTTTTTTTTTAAAAAAAAAGACTTTTTTTTAGGTTCACAGCAAAATTGAGCAGAAAGTACAGAGATCTCTCGTACACCCCATATCCCCCCAGAGGCACAGCCTCCCCACCATCACCCCCCAGAGTGGTGCGTTTGCTACGACTGTGAACCTACACAGTCACGTCACTATCACCCAGAGTCCAGTCTACATTAGGGTTCTCACTCTGGGTGGTGACATATGTTCTATGGATTTGGGGGAATGTATTAGTATGAACCTACCACTCCAGTATCATATAGAATAATTCCGCTGCCCTAAAAATCCCCATGTTGACTTTCTAAGGATCAAATTAAATAACAGATTGTAGCTTACAATGAAACACAAGGACGAAGCATGACTATTGCTAAAAATCAATTTTGTTTTGCAGGGTCTTCATCTCGGTTCTGTCTCCCCTGTTGTCTGTCTGCCTGAGACTGTCAGTGCCAGGGCCCAGGACCATGTCTGGGTGGCTCCCCTATGCAGGCAGGTGGCCAGCAGTGCTCTGGAGGCTGCTGCCACCTGCTGGTCTCGCCCTGTTTCTCCAGCTCCTCTTTTGGACTCCCAGGGTGATATCCAACACACCTCAAGATTTGGGGCTTGGGGGACTGCAATGGAGGTGGGGGTCAGGCAGGCCAAAGGCTCCCCCAAGCTGCTGCCCTAGACACTGTTCCCTGACCCAAGGGATCTCACCTGTCCCCCAGAAGCAAGCCAAGTCCATGGGTTGGTAAGGCCCTCTGTGCCCACAAAGCCAGACTGGGCTGTGCTTAGTGGGTCACCTGGGCTGGGGAGCATCTGCACTCAACCCAGCCTGCTGTAGCCCACCAAGGTGCGGCAGGCAGGTGGGATACTTACGTGAGGGTCCGAATGCACTTGGCTGAGTCCCGGATGTCCCACACCTTGATGTAGGAGGTGGATACAGAGAAGACAAGCCCCGAGTCACTGCAGTACTTGATGGAGACCACGTTGTTGGGGTGGCCCTTTAGAGCTGCGATCTCCTGACCCGTAACCAAGTTCCACATCTTGCAGCTGCGGTCTGCGAGAGACAGGGAGGGAGCCACAGGGAAGGGAGGGACATCAGCCACCAGGAGGCCAGGAAGTCCTCCCTACACACGAGCTGCCGAAGGTGGGAGAACTCTGAATACCAGAGTTCTCTGAGCATTGTCAAAGTATCCTGGGCTAAAACAGAATTCTTAAGCCTTCAGTCCCTGTTCCTACAAATGCTAATAGCTGACAAAATAAACAAACAAGTAGCATGTAGACCTTATGGGAAAACTCAGAAGCAATCAATCACGTGTAGATTGACAGCTATGTCCCCTCCTGCTGTGGAGACATATACATGCTTGTGTTTCTATTATGCACGTGTACTACAGACTTGTCCTCCCCGCTGGTGAAATTTTTGACTCTGTAGTGATTAAGCATAACTGTGTGGAGTCCTGCTGCCGAGTTCATAGGAATCGCTTAGATGTAGGTGCTGGGGTGATGTGGGTGCTGGGGAGATGTCAGGGCAGTGGTGATTTTGGAGGACCGGGATGAGCAAATACAGGTGGGGCACCTGGAAAACCTCCTGAAGTTTCTCAGGGAAGTCTGGAAGGAAGTGCTGGATGCAGCTGCCAGGGTCAGCTATGAGGGAGGCTCAGCCAGTGGTGCAAGGGATGGGGAGCCTTGAGCCAAGGCAAGAGATGAGGGCAGTGAGCCAGTTGACCCCATAACCTCAGCTCCTGGGGGCTCTGTGTTCTGACCTTCTGCACAACACACACTGGCAAAGGAAGCCAGGGGTAGGGGTGGGAGAATCTAAGCCTGGCCAGTAGGGGTTCCACACACCTTTAGATCCTGTGAAAAGCAACTCATCTGTGGCATCAAGGCAGAGGATGGGCTTTGTGTGGCCCTCGGCCATGGAGACGCACTGCAGCGGGGCGGTCCGTGCACCCTTGGCTCCTCCAACGGGGGAGATGATGCCCCTTCCCGAGAGAGAGGGAGAGAAGGCATGCCCATCAGCCAGGGAGACAGCGGCCAGGCTGATCTGGGCACATGGGCGAGAGGGGGACAGGGCACAGAGGGGGTTAGGGCCTAACAACAGAGATTCCAGGGACTCCAGCCAAACTCCGCCAAAGCCTGTGAGCCAGAAAAGGGCTGTGCAGGGTGGGAAGGGTCTGTCTTGAGTAGCAATCTGTCAGCAGCCATCCTGAGCACTGCTGGGGGAAGTAGCCCTGTGCTCGGCATAGCTGGAAGCAGCCGGAGGCATGGGCTCTGCCCATGGAGAGTTCCTATCTGACCCTGCCTGACCCAGATCCTGACACATAAATGCACCTGAGCCCCAGATGCGCAGGGCAGAGGCCCAAGTGCTGGAACTGGCCCTGCAGCTCCCATCAGTACCTTCACGCTGCTTCAGTTAACAAGTGTGAGGCCAGGGTACAGAGAGGGCACCCCCACCCCACTATACCCATCTGCCAACAACTGCCTCGGGGGCTGGCACCCCCTGAGCAGAGAGACCGGGCCTGTGCACACACACACAGCTGCCCACAGCCTCCTTTTGGACCAGCGTGGTCAGACCTGTGACTGTCATTTACAGAGGGCTAATTCCCTTCAGGGACCCTGACTTAGCTTCGCGTCAGGGTGTCTGGGACCACTCTGGAATGAGGTTCTCTGGGCCTGAAATAGCACGTCCTCACCCCCCATGCCTCTGTCAGAGGGAATGAGGTGATCTGAAGGAACCTGAGGATTTCACTACGCCAGCTTCCTGGAGGTTCTGACAATGAAGATGTTTTTTCTCAGTGAGGGTCTTTTGGGATGAGCCAGGGCTGTGCTATGACAAAAAATATATTCTATTTCCTTTTCAAAGAGAATGCTGTTCCTGACAGTGACACTGTGGCCAAGAGTACACTGACGTGACCAGTGTCCCATCCACAGCACTTTCCCCACAACCCCCACGGACCGGGCCAGGCCCATCCTACAGGACAGGGGTCCAGCCGCCAGTCGGGGGTCTCTCACACACAGGTAGCTCCCCAAGCTGCCCCAGCTCCCGCT